TGTAGTTTGTTTTAAAACCCACTTAATGGTTGTATCCTTTAAGTTGTGCCTAATGAAAAGGATGGGAATGGATGAACAACAGACACTGATTATGTATATGTAACTTGTATGACAACTACCCTGGATGATCCTCGGGATAAGATGGCAGGAAGCTATAAGTACGTGCCCTCTCGTCTCTCTCCTCTTCTCTCTCACTCTCTTCCCTCCCTCTCATAGAGCACCAGCAACTGGCACTACAGCTTAGGACAATGGTGAAAGTGAGCATCCAAAAAACGAATTCGAATGATCATGGAAAGATTCACAAATAAAATAAAAACGTCCAGGTGATTACTTCTGTCTAGCATAGTTAACATGTTTCAGAGTGGCAGATCAAAAAGTCAGTCCCAATGCATGGTTCAACAGGGTTAGGATGGCAGCTGGTGCTGGAACGAGTGCACTGCCACTAGCACCTTTTAACTCCCATCTGAGCTCCTGGGCCCTGTGTGATAACAAGGAATGGATAAAGCACGGAACACGCCACACTCGCATGCAGCTAGCTCAACGGATGCGGGGACGCAAAGGCGAAGGCAGAGAAGCATCCAAAGACACATAGGCTGTGGAAGGAGAGCCTGAGATATAGGACGAATATTGGGAAAATGCAGAAGCAAGCCATGAGGATTTTTACTGGTAAACTTCTGAGGCTGGCTGGTGACTGCACGAACAGCAGGGAGCAGGGTGGTAAGGCCTAGTCACAGTAGCAAACTGACATTTGAGAGCGTAGCTCATGTGTTCCATTCTTCTAAGCTCAATAGTAACCCCCAGATTCTTAAAAAGTGTGAAGACAGTCAACCTTCTCAAGTGCTCTCTGTCTTGGGAGCCTTGGGCCACAGAAATGACCTGAGTGGGGAAGACTCTGGTGGAAAGAAATAGAAAGAAGACCATGGGGTTAATTTGGCCTTAACACATTCCTATTCTAATGCTGGGGAAAGGCGCCAAGCAGCGTGTAAGGACGAGGAGAGTCAGCATGTTAAGAGTTACCATACAAATCTAAGCAGCGAAGGGGACCATTGAAACAGCAACAGAATAGTTATGGGAAAGCTGGGATATGGATAGCAAGATTCATCATTGACTTCAGCAGGCTTTGAGAATCAGAAAAACCAGAGAACTTAAAACCACAGACAGAAAATAAGAAGAAGGAAGGCAACACCTTTCACTATGTGGTGGAAGTGGTAAGAAGAAAAAGCGTTCTGGGAAAATAAATATATACAGGAATTAAAAAAAATGTTGAAATAAGCTTTCTTTTAGGTATAACATGAGAAGAACTACCCTAAAGATCACGAAAAAAGGATTATTATGGGATGCCACCCACGGCTCGACCAAATGGCATGCTGGTCACCAAAAGATGCTAAAGAAGAAGCAGATTCCAACGAAAAGATGATTGGCAATCTAAAACAAGAATGAGAGACGCAGAGATGGTGAAACTGTATGGAAGAATAATATGAAACAGCAAAGGTAAATGATTAAAAACATGTAGCAGGATTCACAATGGAAACACGGAGCAGATAAGCGCAAGTAAGAAAATAACATAAAGAGCAAGTACAAAAAGGTAAACTGTAAATCGGTTGAGAACTTGGTTATGTCAGTAAGATTACTATATACTAAAATAAGGAAGCTGCAGAGGGGGGCAGGACGGGAGGCAAAGACGAAATGAGCAGGTTGAAATTGCTTAGATTAGATTATTTGTGTTAAGAATATGAAATGGAAAAAATGGGAAAAAAAAAATAGGAGTAATATATATATATAATAACTATATACATACCCTAAACAAGCAGGAAAACAACCACAAGGGAATTTGACTTAGAAATATCAAACAAAACAAAAATGTGGGGTAGTGTAGTAAGATAATTCAGTTATATATAGGTGACCAGAAGAGCAGTAATAACTAAAAAAACAAGAAAAGTAACAAACTGGTAGGGAATCAAGTTATTGTCTATCCATGCAATCCAGAAAGAAAAAGGACATTCATTTGGGATTCCTTGGAGGGAAAATTTGGCACAACTCTGACGAACAACAACGAGACAACGAACAACAACCAACAACGAGACAATTTATTGATATTTTATTTATAGCACCCAACCCGATCCATACCTCGGCTGGGTTCCCCAGCCATCTGGGCGGCCCCAACTGAAATATATAAAAAACAGATACAGCATTAAACATAAAACAAACCTCTCTAAAAGGGTTGCTTCATGATGGTCTCCTAAAAGTAAGCATAGATGGTTTATTCCTTGACGTCTGGTGGGAGGGCGGTCCACAGGGTGGGGCAACAAACTAACCCAAAGACAAAGGCCCTCGTGCCGTATGGTCCCTGTAACCATCTTCTCTCGCAGTGAGGGAACTGCCAGGAAAGCCTCGGAGCTGACCTCAGTGTCTGGGCCTGAAGTGATGGGGTGGCAGAAGCGACTCCTTCAGGATAACAGGACCAAGGCCGTTAGGGCTTAAAAGGTCATATGGTATATATATAAACTGTTCATCATATAATCAGGAGAAGAAGGCAATCGCCTCAGAATCATCTGCAGGAAAAGGGAGGCCTTTCCGCCCACATTGTTGTAGGAGGGGATCCATGCAGCTTGCATGGGAACCTCTGCAAAAAATAATGTGGGAAATCTCTGTATCAGCAGGGAGTCGTAATGCAACCCCTTACCAACTCAGACGAGCAAGGGGAAATACCGATTTAGGCTTAGGCGTGTACATTTGTTACACTGCTGGGAGAACAAGGCAATGCCAGCTACATGCAGGATTACACGTTCACAAACAACACCCCACAATCAGCTTATCTCATGAGTGGTGTCGAACTGGGATGGGTGGATGGAGGCCTAGGTTTGGGGGAAACGGGCCTTGGTAGCCAACTAGGACCTTCTGCAGGCCAGGATAGCCTTTATGGTTGTTTGTTGTTGAGATCCGTTAGTCGTGTCCGAACCTTTCGGACGCGCCCATGGACAGAGCACGCCCAGGCACTTCTGTCTTCCACGCCTCCCCGCACGTTGGCCAAACTCATGCGTGGGCCCAGAGCTCGCGGAACACTACCCACTATCTCGTCCTCGTCTCCCCTTCACCTTGTGTGCCCTCCATCTTTCCCAACACCAACGGGTCTTTTCGGGAAGAGTGCTTCTCTTCTCATGAGGTAGCCAAAGATTGGAGGCCTCAGCACATTCAGGATCTGTCCATTCCAGTGAGAGCACTCAGGAGCTGATTTACCTAAGAATGGAGAGATTTGAATCTTCTTGCAGTACCATGGGACCACCCCTCAAAGAGTCTCACCTCCAGCAAACCATAAGAACAAAAAGCATCAATTCTTTGGCAATCAGCCGTTCGGTATGGTCCAGTCTTTCACACTCCATAACCAACTACTGGGAAAACCAATAGCTCCTTTACATCAGCGCGGACCATTATGCTGGCAAGGTGAAATGTCTCACTTTTTAAGATGCAGTCAGGTTTGTCCAATTGCGAGATTAGACGCTAACAAGGACAGAGCATCCCACACCATCTGAGATGGAAACACTCCTGTGGAGGTTAATGCCAGAACACCAAGCGAGAAATGGACCAACAAAAGAGATGTCAAGTCACTCACAAAAACGATTGTAAAGACAACCTAGTGCTCCTCCCAAATCCCTGCACAAAGGAGAGTAGCTGGGAAACCCAGGTCAGAATGCAATGGGGTAAAACACAACACACACAAGGAGAAAGGCCATGGGGCTGAGCATCTAACATGATAGGACTTTAACGTATTGCCGGAGGTTGAAGCAGAGCCAAGCAGAGGGCCCGTAAGCCCAAACTCCGTGTAAATAGATATGGTTTGCAAATTATATGGGCACAAAGTTATTTATATGACTTCTTACACCCATTTTCTCTTAGCTTGTGGAACATCTCTAAAACCTACCCCAAGTGTTAATATCCAGGAACAGAAGGAGACAAAAGTTACTACCGGACAAAAGCAATTACATGAGGATTACAGAAGCGCAATAAATAAAGGAAATGACGTAAGCATGATAAAGTTGCTGTGAAGCTCAAAAGGGAAACTTTAGCAAGATCCAAGCAAGTATAGTGTAGATAGTTATCAAGTCCGACGGCTTTACAGTGCCTAGAAATCGCAGTAGGTTTGTATTTCTAAGTCACATAAAAATGCTTGTCTTTTCTTGGATGTAAAAAGAAGTGTGTTGATGTCTAACTGTAAATGCAGCGCTCCACGAGGAATAAACTCCTAGCGAAAGTCCATGGAAAGAGGCAAGAAGGAGCTTCAATAAGACAGACGCAGATTTTGATATTTCGAGTGCACAAACTGGTGCAGTCAAGCCATTGTGCTAGAGTGTTACCTACCATTGCATAGTACCCCTTCGGGGGGGGGGGGGAAGTTTCATACCGTCAATTGGGCAGAGTTCAGTAGACACCAAACATGTCCAAGACCCAACTGCAGTTCAGCTTTAAAACGAGAACCTGGGAAGCTTTGTTCCTTTGGGAATGTTCTAATCCACGGATTCTTTTGAAAACATGCAATTTCATTAGCCTCGAGCGATTAAGCTGGGGTTGCCATCCTCTTTGGACCAGGGAGGACATTTGAAATTTGGAGAAAATGTTGTAGGTAGGTGCTAGTCACCAAATGGGGACGCGGGTGGCGCTGTGGGTAAAAGCCTCAGCGCCTAGGACTTGCCGATCGAAAGGTCGGCGGTTCGAATCCCCGCGGCGGGGTGCGCTCCCGTTGCTCGGTCCCAGCGCCTGCCAACCTAGCAGTTCGAAAGCACCCCCGGGTGCAAGTAGATAAATAGGGACCGCTTACTGGCGGGAAGGTAAACGGCATTTCTGTGTGCTGCACTGGCTCGCCAGATGCAGCTTTGTCACGCTGGCCACGTGACCCGGAAGTGTCTCCGGACAGCGCTGGCCCCCGGCCTCTTAAGTGAGATGGGCGCACAACCCTAGAGTCGGACACGACTGGCCCGTACGGGCAGGGGTACCTTTACCTTTACCTTTTAGTCACCAAATGGCTGCTGCAAGTTGTGTGAGGTAACACAAAAATGGCCGCCACATCTAAAAAAAAGGGCAGAAAAAGAAACAGGAACACAAGATGCTGTAGGATTGCAATATTTCAAAAAGTAATATGCCTGATACCCACAAAATTGTTGAGCCAGTTTCATATACAGGTTGAAGATCAGCGCATGAACAGTGGCTGGGACAACAGAGAGCAAGAGGATCTTTGGCCTAGTAGCCAAAAGAAGATACGTAGCTGTGTTAGTTTTATGAGTTAATGTGAACAAGTGAAGAGATGTGCTTGTCCCTCAATATCTGTCTGGATTCTCACAGATTTATGAAGGCTCATAATTGCTGTCTATGGAGTGGCACAATAACAGTTATTTATATCACTTGCTAAATAAATTTTCATACGAAATTAATTTCCAGGAATAGATGTAGTAGTCAGTTTTCTCTGTCCTAATCCTTTCCTCTGAATCGTCTTATTATGGCAAGTTTGGGATCTGGCCCACATTTACGACATTCTTAGCTAATGTAGACACTGCATTCCTATCTTGATATTTGCCATGTGTTGGGCCCAACTTGAAATACATAATCCTGTTCCCCCCTACACACACACACACATACACACACACGACAATTAGTTCATACCATATGCAGCACAATCCTATGCATGTTTACTCAGAAGTAAGTCCTACTGCGCCCAATGGGATTTATTCCTTACTAAGTGTGCATTGCAGCCTTAGTCAATATGGTGAACTTGACTTCAGACTAGCAGCAGCAAAGACAACATTTAAAAATGAGAATTGTTTAAATACAATCGTAATGTCTTGCATGGAGAAAGATGCTTTTATTAACCGATTTCTAATTTGTTGCTGCTTTTTTTCATTTACCATTAAAAGCATCTCTTTACAAAATGCTAGGAAGTTACATGTATCCATTAAACGGCCCTTCACTGAAATAATCTATCCTTGTTCGTTTTAGCTATTTTTAGCTTTCGGCCCCAGATCTGGAGACTATGATTTCTGGAAGTGAGTCCACTTCTCTCATGTTGCAGCAATGCATGTTTACGGATTTTGGTATCTGGGTCTTGTTCAACATTACAGAGGAGATTTCATGCAAAAATATAGACGCTGTTTAAATTATAGTGGTGAAGATTCTCAAAATGTTGGGCTCAACTAAGGAGACACAGGGCTTCTCCACACTTACCTTTTCTCTTTTCTCTTCACAGTCGCAGCCTGTAGCTCCATCTCAGTCTCTACCACTGGAATGGGATTTTGGCAGAACCATGACCCGTCCCGTAAATGTCAAAGTAGCCTGCACCTGACTGAGGAGTGGAATATAGGTAGGCAGGGGGATAAATTGCATGTTTGTGCTCTGATTGCCAAATAACGAGCAAGTTTCCAAACGTCCCTGGTCCAAACGTTTCTGGAGAACACCTGTACACCTTCACTGGTTAATGTCTGCTGTATGAAAGGAGGCCTGTTCAGCATCCAAACAGGTAAAATGAAGGATTGTCTTGCTGCCTGTTTGAAAGCCAGTAGGTAGAAAGCTGACGCAAAGCAGGCGCCCTGCCGCACCTGATGTGTGTCTGCTTCATGTCTGTAGTCCTCATACATTTCGTTTAGCTTTGGGACCTGCTTCCCTTTTATGGCGGGGAGGGAACTCGAAGGACTATAAGGACAATGTCACCATTGAAATATTAAGGATATGCCAAAGAGGCATAAATACTGCCTTGGTGTGTCAAATCCAAAGAGGCCTTCGGAGATCATAAGAGTACTAACAGAGATCCCAAGCCACCGAATGAGACCATATTTATGGAGTTTCGCTTGATGTATTAATGACCTAGATAAAGATGTGTGTTTTTCCACAATTAGTTTGGTCTTTGCTTAGATATGTAACATCAATAGGGCTTGCCAGGTACTGTCATTGACGATGACAGTAAATCTCTCTTTCTATGGCTTACAGTCATCCTATAAATATAGCCTGGAAAAGAAAGAAGAATTGGGATGGAGCAGAACTGCTTTTAGGAAACACTGAAACAGGAAGACAGTTTTCACAATCCGGGGTAGGGTGTGTGTGTGTGTGTGTGTGTGTGTGTGTAGATATAGATTAGATATAGATATAGTATAGATATAGATATAGATATAGATATAGATATAGATATAGATATAGATATAGATATAGATATAGATATGGATATAGATAGTTTGAATATATATATATATATATATATATATATATAGTTTGAATATATGCAGTGTTCAGACTCTTTATATTCAAAAGAAATTTACTTTCATAAACATATAACTGAGAAAGACATATCTCATGCTTATTCGCTTTGTTCCTTATAGACAGCACAGGTTTATCCCTATTAACATTTAGGGATCTCCCTCTGTCTGCTTCACCCCAGACAGACCACACTGACACACACCGTCCTCTGCAGCATCCAGGGAAAACTCTTTCATCAGCCATTCTCCTTCATAAACACAGAAAGAACAGAAAACAGTTAAAAATGACAGTTACTTGAATAACAGTCACAACAGAATGGAATGCCTCTCTCATGTGACTCACAGTCAGCCAATCACATGAGAGAGCTACTGCCAAAGGAAAAACCCCATGATAAAAACACACAGCAATTCAACATAAGCAAACATTCCCATTCCAGGAAGTTGAACCCTTATCCTTAACATAGGAAACCTGTGGTCCTCCAAAGGTTGCTCTGATCCCACCAACCACAGCCAGCATGGCCAATGGTCAGGGATGATGGGGACATTGTAATCCAACACCATGTGGCAGGTCACAGATTTACTGCCCCTGTTATAGCCATGTTGACTTTTCTGCTTATGTTGGGCCAAGAGTGACAGAGCTGATGTAACAGTGCTGCATGGTCCAAGCCAAATACTCGTATAAGCACATTTTACATTCCTCCATTTCAAGAGGAGGGAGTTTAGCCTATGCTTATGTATTGTTTGTGTGCATATTACTTCTACTTATACACCACTTTTTGAGGTGTAAGGAGAAAGAAAGGGGCTCTGTGGGAGACAGCAAATGAGGAGGGACTTTCCCTCAACTCACAGATACAAGACCCTTTTTGAGTGTTGAGGCTTTGAACTCCTCCATTGTAGGCTCAGGATGTATATGTGTGTGAATAAACCATATATCACAAAGACACCATAGTCTCTGCTGTGCCTCATTCCCAGAAGGAAACATGAACCCTGGGTAACTCACACTGCTCAGAGATAGGGGTGACATGCAACAATATGTTTCCGGTCAATTTTGAGAATGTATCTCAGTGCTGTTTTCTAAAAAAACTTAGTTTCTTGTAAACAATGTGGTACAGTGGCATAGTGTGGGTTGCATGTTGTCTGGAGAAGTCACTTCCTGGTTCACACAGAGAAGCCGTTTTCAATGGAGCCCAGATACAGTGCACAGCTGTATTGAGTCAGCACTGGGTGTTGAAATCCCCCCCCTGACAATTTTGCACCTGGGGCAACCGTCCCTGTGTGCCCCCCCCCCCCCCGTGGGTGGAAAAGAAGGAGAGGGTGTTTAGAGGGGAGTAGGTATCAGGGTGAGGGAGGCAGGGCTTCTGATTTGGATCAGATTAAAATCTGAACTGGATAAGAGCTTGCTGATAATTTGAGACAAGTGTTGTGAGCTGCTGAGATTCATATTACTGATCTAAGAAATGTAGGACACAGCACTGTCACTAATGATTACACTAGATCGTTAATGACTGCTTTAGTTCTCTTTGAAAGCAGCCAAAGATCAGGCACCCTTTTTCTCTCAAAGCGTCAAGGAGTCAAGCATTTGCACCAGAATTTTATCACTAGTTTCCTGCTGATGTTTACCACTGGCAGTGTCTCAACTCCAGCGGCTTCCTTAGGAATAGTTCAGAACTAAATCCAATTTAGTTGTTGAAGGAAGATCCAACACGCCAGTAGAATCATGCTTCAGTGTTCAAATGAAATGGTTTCTGGATTCAGAGTAACTCTTTACAAAAATAGCTGAGTAATGTGTCATTCTTGAATACACTCCCCCCCTCATTTAATTTTAAAGCAGTATTTAGCTGTCAATGAAAGGGCATGTATACACCTCCAAAATGAAAATAGCTGAATTCTTCATGAGAGAAGAACAAGGAGCCCAATAATAAGGCAAAAGGAGCATCTCCATGCCCATTGTTCAGCCCGGACACTGAGGTCCAGTGCTGAGGGCCTTCTGGGAGTTCTCTCACTGTGAGAAGTGAGATTGCAGGGAACTAGGCAGAGGGCCTTCTTGGTAGTGGCGCCCACCCTGTGGAACACCCTCACATCAGATGTCAAGGAAGTAAACAACTATCTGACTTTTAGAAGACATCTGAAGGCAGCCCTGTTTAGGGAAGCTTTTAATATTCAATGTTTTATTGTGTTTTTAGTCCTCTGTTGGGAGCTGCCCAGAGTGGCTGGGGAAACCCAGCTGGATGGGTGGGGTATAAATAATAAATTATTATTATTATTATTATTATTATTATTATTATTATTATTATTATTACTACTACTACTACTACTACTACTATTGAAGTGTGCTGCAAGAAAGTAAAAGTAGAGTAATACATTATCACCTTTGTATCTTGAGGTAATGGCTTCCAGTCTTTCAATCTTCAGGCAATTTTTTCCATTCCAGTTTGTCTACTGAAGAACAGGTTAATGTCTGTCACAAAATCACCTATATATTGCAAAGGATTCTGGTGTATATTATAGGGTGCACAGTAAAATTGGTCAAACCAGTTGGCTGGGTCTGGCCTGGTACATCCTTTATGAGGTGCATGTTATGATAAGTTGCCATGGGAACCAGTTCTTCAGTTGCTTCACTGTTGTTCTAGGTGAACTGAGAATACACCTTAGATTGTGTGTCATCTTCTCTGGTGGCTGCCCAATGTTGGGGACAATGGGCGGTGAAGAAACCCAAGAAAGCTCCTTATCAACCCAAAGTTCCCTAGAAGAAATTTGCTCACTTTGTTCTGTGAAAACCATACTTTGCTCACATGCAGTATTTCTTCTGTTAACCTGGTTCACCTCTCAGTAATGGTTGAGAATTTTGAAACCCGTTTTTTTTATATCTGCCTTTAAGATATGGGGCAGTAGGATGAATGGGAAGAACGGCTTACTTAGTGCTATGCATGTCTCATCATATGCTTCAGGGAAATCTATTTCTTGGATTAAAAAATGGTTGGTCTCCCTTCTAATGCAGTCCTCTTCAAAGATTTTCCCTGTAAGGCACAGCTCATTGCCACTTGTGATTCTACTGGCTATGTCAACCCATTTGCTTTCATGTTTGACATCAAACTGTCATTTGATTCAAAGCAGGCTTGAATCTTTAAGACATATATGTAAATCAAATCCTACCAGCATACTGAACGCACAAATCTCTCTCTCTCTCTCTCTCTCTCTCTCTCTCTCTCTCTCTCTCTCTCTGTTATAGCTGTAAATCTTGCAAATCCTAAAATTGGGATTCATTATTACAAGCAAATATTACTATAGTTATTACCTAAAATATATATCTTTGCACAGTATGAAGCATTCTATTGTTCTTGCTGAAAGTTTGTAAAATAATTGTTATGAATTCCAGAGCATTTAAAAATTCCCAAATTGAATTAATTTAACATTTGGCAAAGTGTTTCCCTTTAGGAGCATATCAGCTTTAAGAATGATTATGACTATGGGTTTTTTCTCCCTCCAACAGAGAATTATGGACTGGATAGCAACCTGATTATTCTGGCTGAGATATATCAATATGGACATAGTTTTCTCTGCATTGTCATGATCATATCAACATTACATAATATGAATGAGCTCATTCTAATCAGGTTAGTTGGGGCTTCTTGGAAGTGATTTTTTAAAAAATACCTGGAGCATAAAGGGAAGCCAGACTTCTCAGACCATGTTTTCTGAAGTAATCCCACTGATTTGCAGGAAATGTTATTCGCAAGTTATTTGAGACAACAGGCCTACATGTCCCCAATGTTACATTTAATGTTGCTGTAGATCAATTTAAATCACAACATTGCCAAAACTTCTCATCAGTTAAGTGTGCAGTTGCAATGAGATATGTCTGCTTGTCTAGCGAGGGCAACCTACGTCCACAGAGCAGGTGTGATATGAGGTAAAGAACTCCAGAAGCCAAGGCTGCGATGAGCAATGCGGATCTCACTGGAAGAAGTCCAGATAGGCTTTCCTTAACAGATGGTAAATACTGTTAGGTTTTGACTGCTCTAAACACCTCTTTGGGGAGATTTGAGGACCGAATCCAAGGTCCTTGCTGGCCGCCACCCCAATGGCTGATTGGTAATGTCAAGCCAATAGTGTGATGCTATAGCAATGCTATTGTGTTGGCTCAAATGAAAAGAGGATGGTTTCTCTAGGCTTTCCTATACCTCAGTTGTTTGCTTGGCAGCCTTTTTTATGGCTTTGGGAACTCGAAGCTATTACAGGTTATATTCCACACCTTTTTCATGTGACTAACAGCAGTGGAGGAAAACAATCAATTGATTT